AGATATAAAATAAACCCCCTTGCAAAAAGCCTCTTATTGTAGCATCAGATTGATCTAAATCTCTTGATGTGGGACGAATGGACTGGACCGAAGACAGGCCTGCAGAGAACTGGATTGAGCCGAAGGCCTTCCCTCCACTGAACCAAAAACAGTAACTGCATCCTTCCCCCTCCTTCACATCTGATGCTTAATAAGTACTCTGCTTGGGTGAACTATAGGTAGAATAGAAAATGGTATAGGTTTTTTATTTGAAATAAGCTTTCTGATTGAACTGCTGATGGTTAAAGGTTTAACTTAATGCTAATGCTCACTACAGACCGAACAAGTCACGTGCGGCTGAAGCTAACTGCTACATTGTGAGGCAACCCTCTTTTTGTTTTAGTTGGACCCGACCAGAACCAGAACCCCTGGGTGCCAGCTAAGCTAACGGGTCTTTCAGCCTCATCATAGTTTAATGCATTCCGGAGTCATTATTCATTTTTCACCATAAACTGAATAAAACTTCACTGTTTTGACTGCAGTTAACATCTGTGTCAGGGTTTATTTACATATTATCTGCTGCTACTATACAGGACACTTTCAAATGCATAAAGCCTTAAATTTCAAACATCACAGACTTTGAACAGACTCTTAACCCCCCCTTCCCCTTTTATTTCTTTAATTTTGCTTATTTTCAGTAGTGTTTAGTGTTTGCTTAGTTATTAGATATAATACTGTGTGACTGTAGCTAATAAAGGTACCTTTGTATTTTTAACCTGTGGTCTTTTGTGTTAATTTTACCCAGTAAACGATTTACCACTCAGGCTGGATTCACTCTTCTTTCAGTAGCATCCGAATGAACGGAGACTAATTTATTTGGTTGGTGATTAATAACGTTGCTAAGAGCCATAGCCTAAATGACTAAATTGGTGAAAGACAACTGGACTTTTAACAGCCGGATTCAGGAGTCTAAACCTTTTAGGAAAGGGAATAAAACCCTGGTCAGTAAGCAAATTAGAGTTATAATCATTCAACTGATAATAAATAACTAGTTTTTTTTATACCTATTAATTTACCAACTTCCAGTTCTAGTTATTTAATATATTCATAATCTTCTGGTAAGCAGAATGGCACAACAAAACCAACCTTGCATTTTCTTTCAGGCGACGGCTGTCTCTGTAGTGTAGCATCCATTTCCACTTCCCAGTTTTACTGAGCTCTTGCAGGTTTTTTGAGATTTCTTTCATGTTGCCTACAAATTCACCGAAATTTGAAAATGTATAAATTTAGGACCACTTCTTGAAGCACTATGACATTTAAATCTAAAAAGAAGGATTTAGATACATGAACATACAAATGCTGAGGGGCTCCAGCACTGCTCTGTCAACCATTACAAAACCAGCTCGAGTGAAAAGCTCCTGATGGGTGAGATTAATGACATCATCTGGTTCGTCGATTCCAGCAAACAGCACACCTGGGGTCAGCTTCAGCTTGAGCAAATGTGGTACCTGAAAGGTTGAGATCAGCCATTAAATACTGACGCTTTATTTAACCAAAAATCAATTAGCTTGACCTGTTCTTTCTTTACCTTACAAATGTGGTCTGCAATATCTTCATTCCTGAGGATGATGAGGAGTGAGGAAGAACTGTCTTCAAGGAAGAATTCAGATGGCTGAACAGCAGAGTGGCCCTCTGCCTCCAACTGATCCTTTGGGGGAAAAACATAAAAATAAAATAAACAAACTTAAAAACGCCATTGCTAGCACAAAGCTTACACTAATTTGAGACAAACAAAGGGGTAATTTAACAAAACATATACCTTTTTTTAAACAAATGCACTGTTGAAAATGTTTGGGTGCTATTAATATTGCTAGTATGACCAATAACCGGTGTTATATCCATTACACTTAATTCTAAAAAAGTAAAAACAATCTACTGGACTTTGTTTCTAAGTTTGAAGACGTTTTGCTTTCCATCCAGGGAGCTTTTTCAATTAAAACTGTCAGAAATAGAGTTGGGTTCGAGGCTTTATACAGTAGCCCAACAAAAGCCCCATAACTGTCTATGTCTTTGAAAGGGGAATCGTTAAAGGGAGGTAAATTGTTGGCCTGGCGCAGTAGATGAGGTCTTCTGTTCCCCTGTAAAGGTGTTGGGGGTGCTATGATAGCAGGAAGGGATCAATTCAATTGCTGCATTGTAGGTTTGAATTGAAAAAGTTTCCTGGATGGGAAGCGAATGACTATGACCTGGATGACATTTAATTCCCTACCATTTTGATATTGCTTTTCTGCTTCAGCTAAAAAAACACCCTGCAGTCATGCATTGCATCACTATCACTGCCATAAGCCTAAAGATAACCCCACAGCTGACTCCTTCCTCTCTTTCCAAACGCATACAAGATGTTTTTTTTACTATCGCATCACATCTTTAAGATGATATCTAATGCATTTCAAATGTTTTCACATAATCTTAAACTTCAGAGCATTTAAAATGAGCCAACACATTGAGATATTTAATCAAGGGTTCTAAAACAAAAGTTTCTTTCAGCATTGTGTTAGGAGCTTTTCTCTGCAGACAATTGCAGATACTGGAACACCACAAGTTTCCAAACTAAAATATAAAATTGTGTTGAGACTTTCACTTTTCATTGTAAGGACAAAAAATTGACACTACTTCCTACATGCTGGTACATTCATCAGCTATAAAACTACAGACTGTAGGAAAATAATATAAGGGAGGATAACTACAGGATAGCAAACAGATGAAAGGATTAAGAGTTTATGGCCAAAAAAATGAATTAAAGTATGAATAATATTAATGAAAAAACACTAAAGATGAATTCTCTCCGCCCCCACCTCGGGTCATCAGATCACTTATCTGTCATGCAAATTCCTGCATACAGGCCCCAGTGAATCATGGTAAAACCAACAGTAAAGGAGGTCAGAGTGTGGACTGAAAGGGGCATGGAGAACCTCCAGGACTGTTTTAAATGCTCTGACTGGAACATGTTCAAAGCTGCGGCTACATATGACAACAAGATCAATATTAACGAGTATGCCATGACTGTGGCAGCATACATCAACAAATGCATTGAGGACATTAGCACCACAATGAACATCACCACCCAGGCCAACTAACGACTCTGGATAAAGGGGGAAGTTCGGAAACCGCTAAAAGCACGGAACTCAGCTTTCAAGTCTGGTGATAGAGAGGCACTGAGGACAGCGAGTACCAACTCCGCCAACTCCAATACCATGCCATCAAAACAGCGAAGCAAAACCACAGTAGGAAGATCCAGGATCTTTTTCACGATGCCTGCAAAACCAGGAGGATTTGACAAGGCATACAGGTGATCACAGTCTACAACTCCCCCCCTGGGTGGGTGCAGCTGATTCTGACTTCCTAAATGAACTAATCAATTTCTTTCAAAGGTTTGAGGCACTAAACGGAACTCCAGCAAAGAAACCCATTCCGCATCAGGGGGAGGAGGCACTCAACCTTTACACAGCTCATGTGTGGGAGACTCTAAGGAGAGTCAACCCAAGAAAGACCCCAGGCCCGGATAACATACCTGGGTGGGTGTTCAAGGAGTGTGCAGGTCAGCTGACTGGTGTCCTCAGGGGGATTTTTAACAACTCGCTATTCCAATCCATAGTGCCAGCATGCTTTAACTCTGCCACCAGCATTCCGGTCCCAAAGAAGCCTCAGGTCACCTCAATCAATGGCTACCGGCCTGTTGCACTGACTCCCAGCACGATAAAGTGCATCGAAAGGCTGATTAAAGAACACATCATCTCCAGTCTCCCCCAACATTCGACCCGTTCAACTACCGACGGAACCGCTCCGCTGAGGATGCCATCTCCTCCTCTCTTTACCCAAGCCTAGCAGACTTGGAGAAGAACACCCATGTGCAAATGTTGTTCCTGGACTTCAGCTTTCAACATCATCATCCCACAGAGAGGAAGTGGAGTAGCTGGTGGGCTGGTGCAGAGATAAGCGCCTGATCATGAACTTGAAGACTGAGATCATTGTCGACTTTAGGAAGTACTGGCCTAACCACCCTCCACTGCTCATTAATAGCTCATCCGTAGAGGTGGTCAGCAGCACCAAATTCCTGGGGTTGCACATCACAGACAACCTCACCTGGACAATGTACACTTTCTCACTGGTCAAAATGGCACAGAAGCGCTTGTATTTCCTGCAGAAGAGGAGAAGAGCCCACCTGCCCCCACCCATCCTCACGAGAAATTTAATTTTGTATACGCTCCGTGTACACAAAATAACAATAGTTTGTTTCATTTTAAGTCTATTAGGTCCCAGCAGCGAAACAGCTGCAAAGGCCTATTATTACTTCTGTGTTTAGCCTAAAAGAGCTCCCAGCTCCCGACATGACTCTGCTGTTCACTTGCACATTAAGGACAAGTGACATTCGAGGACCAGATTGTTCACATTTCAGGCAAAGAATACAGGTGTTTTGAAAGGGGTGTTATGGAAGCCATTTATGTTAAGACAGAAAAACCAACCTTAAACTGTGGGGGTGGACTCAAGTTTCAGCTCTCAAAAACCTACAAGGCAGGGATAGAGTTGATTCCTACCCGCTATCATTTCAACCCCCGACCCCCATCCAGGGGACAAAAAAAACAAAAAAACATCTCGCCTGGGTAGTCAAGCCAACAATTGCACCTAACGACCCGCGTTCAGAGGCATAAGGGCGGACCCGTTCTTCTGATTCAATTGGCATGTTTTCTAAGCCAAAACAAGTTTTTGGGCTACTATATAAAGCTTCGAACTCAAAGCTAATTCTGACATTTTGAATTGAAAAAGCTTCTTGGATGGGAAGCAAACGTCTTTAAACTTGGAAACCAAGTCCAGTGGATTGTTTTTTTTTTTACTTTTTTGAAATGACTATGACCTCAGGAAGTTAACAGTGTTGAATCAAAGCCACCACTTGGCAGTATTTCACTTATGTCATATTTCAGGAAACTCCTCCTAAGCTTCAAAGTTACAGGCTTTATATTGACTATGCATAGACTTAATAGATCTGGGAATCAACAGTTATCAAATGAGTTTTTTCTGCATCAATCATGTGGCCTCGGCCAAACTTCAAATTTGGACTTATCGCCAAAAAATCTTGTCGTGTTAAGTTTCAACCCAAATTCTGTTCACACAGGGTCAGCAACACAAACACAGGATCTGAGCCATATTAGAGTTGCAGTGTACTAACTCAAACCAGCTATTAACATAGAAATCCATGCAAATATTTGTTGGGTGTGGCTTAATGTCTTAACAGCTCTCTGTAGAATCACTCAAACAGCCCTAGCCTGAGGCCATACTTTTACTGAGAATTTAGAATATTGGTACACATGCGTAGGCCTGTTTCACAAAGCCGGATTACAAGCTTAGCAAGGCAACTTCAGGTTTAACCCAAACTTTCCGACAACAGAAAGCTGGATAGATTCTTACCCAAGGAAAGTTACCATGGTAATGAAATCTGAATTGCACACCTGCTCCAGGCCAGGATAGCTTTCAGGATTGATCCTATAAAAATCCCATAGTGTGGACACCACTAGGCCAGGAGGCCTAGAACCGGCCCAGCAGCCACCAGAAATGAGTCAATGTTCCTGATCAGACACAGACACCTCTCATCGGACACTAAACATATTCTTAGAGTATCCTCCCGGGTCTAGAGGCCAATCTCGCTAGGGGGATCAGGCCCAAAGACCCAGGAGGAGATACCCAGACCACTCATTGTGGGTAAAGGGCAGGCAGCTGGATCTGGGTTTCGGTGGATGGAACTGGGTGCCAACAAAGGGAGGAGAGAAGCATTGTAGCCTAGGTATATTCCCCCAACAGCACTGGCCAAAGGACCCTTGAGCAGGTAGCCATCCCGCCGAAGAGCCTATCACGGCCCTAGCCAGTCACAGCCATTCCAGGCCCCCACATCAGTTTAGACCTCTTATACCCATGGCTGCAGGACAAGCAGTCCAAGGCAGGCCTAGACACCCCCTGAGCGTCCCCTCACCCAGCTGCAGGCACAGGCTACATCGGGGTCAGGACAGGAAGCCAGGCAGACCTACACCATAAGCTGAGTTGCATCTGGGCATGGTGGTTGCATCCCACCTGCCATACAGCCATGCCTATAATTTAACTGTGAAATAGAATATTCAGAATAAATTTTGAATCAATTTGACTGTATGATCTGGTTGAACTGTAAAGTGCCTTGAGATGACTTGTGTTGTGAATTTGGCGCTATATACACTGAATTGAATTGAATATAGATCAAGCATTTCCCTTTCTGTCTGGTAGAGCAGAGAGTCTGTATGAGAGTGAAACAAAAAGCCTAGTCATCACAGGAAGTTTAATTTAAATAGGGAAGATGTATTTCTGTACATTCAGAAATGCATGGTGTTTGAGCACTTTCACTTTTTAAAAGAGTAGATCTTTTTTGCCATTTGCCCCTGTTAGGTTCTGACACAGTTACATTTTTGTGTTTTTCTGATTATTTGTAATCCCGAGTCCTCTTCATTCCATAGGGGTTACATTTGGAGGATGGGACTAACTGCCATAAATGCAATTAATATGCAGTACAGTGATTAAGAGTAATGGCTTTGTGAAATGTCACTGATGTGAAACTTCAGTATTTATATAGTCAGCAATCCTTTGGCAAGCCATTTGGCCATTGCAATTGCTGCGGATAGGTTGAGCTGGATAGGCTGGAAATATCCCTGGGTACGTTGAGCTTGGTTCGTGTTACAGACCCATTACTGTGAGTAAACATAGGTCAAAGGCTTATGTTTATCCACTACACCAGCAGTAGTGGTGTTCATAGTGCCATACTAAGTACCCCTACGGTCACTGGTGCTATTAGTTTTCTTTCGAACTATGAAGCGAGCAAGGGTCTGTCGCAGGTAGCAAAGTGATATTCAAACTCCAAAAAGCAAGATGCCCCATCTGGGAATCAGGTCAAGAAAATCCATCAAATCTACAGGGAACTAAACTGCTATGAGTATCACACATCACAGATTTTCAAGATGATATATGGTTGCTTACTGAACACAATTTATACAGTGTTATACCTTTTTAAAGACTGTGCCCTCACAAAAACCATGCAAACAAAGCGAATTAAAATGTAACTTACCCTTGTTTCTTCAAAGAAGACGTCATCAGAGGTGACCAATATGTAGAATCTATACTTTGTTTTACAGGATTTCTTCACAACCGCATTCAGATTACTTCGGAAGGTGTCATCCAAATCTCTCTTCATTTGATCACAGAAGTCAAAATGGTTACTTGAGTCAGTTCTTGTGTCCCCTTGATGACCTTTTTTGCTTTTAAGTCTCAGTGGGACCTTTTTGGCTGAGCAAACATCTTGCATCTTTGCTTCATACAGTCTAGCACATTCAGCAGTCATGGTAGAAACCCCAACATGCTCCATTGGGTTACTTAATTCACGGGATGGAGAACAGACTGCCTTTCCTTCCTCCTTGGAAGCTCTCCGGTTCTTAGTGTCAGATATATCTACTTTTATTTTTTGTTTAACGAAAGGGGTGTCCAAATCCTCCATTGAATCATCAAGTTCCTCAAGGTTGGAAAAACTGACAGTTAAGGGGCTGGTACAAGACGTTGAAGTGTTATTAGTATCCAACTGGCAAAGGGTCTCTTTTTTATTCTTAATAAGATTTTTCATTTGTTCAGAATAGATGAGGCACTCTTGTTCCATTGATGCTTGAGTGAGATCATTTTGAAGACACCTTTGAGAAATCTGCTCTATAAAAGAGGAAGCACCCTTCTCACCACTATTAAAGATTGTACACTGGACTGACGTTAGAGAACTGTGATCATCCTCACTTAGTGCATCATTTTTGTCACGAGTTAACGGCTTGTTTGAGCTTTCTCCTCGATTAACAAGTTCGATTACATCCTCACCTGTCCCATTTACGATGTGTCCATTCCCTAGTCCTTGGGTTAGAGTTTTTCCAGATTTATTGCACAGTACATCTGATGGAGATGAAATTGGGTGGAGCTTTGAAAAGGTTCTGCTGTGGTGATGAGGATCTAATGGGGCAAATGTACCATCTATGTTAGATTTACTGCAAGAACTATTTTCTAACCAAGTGGTTTTGGAATACGACTCATGAACACTTTTACTAACAACTCCATCTAAATTTTGTTTAAAAGTTTCTGTTTCCATTAAAATCATAGAGGGTGCTAAGAGGTATGTGGTTACACAATCACTAGCCTGTTTACTCTGGGAGGTAGTTTTAATATTCATGCCTTTAGAGAGCCAATGTTGCAGATGTTCCTCATTTTTAGCTGGTTTTACTGCAATGGCAGGATGCTTACTACTACTACTTGAATTGGATTGTGATTTCATTTTCTCTTTTCGCAAACCTTTAGAGATAGAGGCTTTTTCAAGATGAAAATCTGGGCCTATCTGTGTTTTCTCGTCAGCAATTTTAAAACGATCTGAAGAAGTTGAAAAATGTTTTTTCAACTGCGGTCGTTTTAAACCAGGAACATCTTTAGATTTACTTTTTACAAAAGTCTTGTGGAGATCAGATTGTTTTTTGGTCTGTGTTTGCAAGATACAGGTTGATCCTAACTTTGTCTTTTTGTCCTTTATTTGCTTGTTCCTTGATCCCAAGGAAGGGGCAACAGATTTTTTGCTGTTGACATGGTTTGAGGTAGAAAGGAACTCGTTTATACTTTTCAAAACTCGTAATGTTCTTTTTTTGACATCGGAACTAAGATGTGCACTAGTTTTTGGATTAGTGTCACCTGCAGATGCTTGGAGTTTCTCCTCTAAAGCCATCTCTTCCATAGAGGATTTTGAGTTTCCAATAATATTATGGTTGTCTTCACCATCACTGGTAACACCAGTGCTACTGCTTGGATTTGAAAAAAAGCCAATTTCATGAGGGTTTTCATCTATAGTGGGAGTTGGAGATCTCCTGTAGAACCCATTCATGTCAGCAGCAGAAATACTAACTGTACTGATGAGGGGTATTGGCTCCTGGTCCTCAATTTCCTCTACCACATCTTGTGGTGATACATTCAGTCCGGCCCCATCTTTTGTGATGCATAGATTTAGACTTTTGCTAAGATCATTTGTTTCCTCAATTGAATATGTGTTTTCAGTTTGTTCTCCATCCACCTTAGACACATCTTTAATTTCAGGTTTTGATTGGGACACCTGTAGTTCTAGCAAAGCATTGCTGATGTTTCCCTCTTTGCATGCCAAATTAGATTCCTGACTTTTACATTCATTACTAGATGTACAAGAATTCAAGTCTGATGCTTTGTTTTTGGATTCAATCCCATCCTTTTCCTGAGGAAGACATGGAATTGTGAAGGAGTCTTTGAATGATAAGCTGCTCTCATTAGAAATGGGCAACACCAGCTTCTGACAGTCTCTTTTGCTTATATCCTGTAACGTAGTGTCTTGAAATTTAGGGGCAGGCTCTGATGGAGTGTCTAAAGTGGGACTTTCATCTTCCAAAACTGTGGGATTTCCACTCAAGGGAGCCTCTCCTGTGCTGTCAGACGATGGCAGCCGTTCATCCATTTGTATCCGGCTAATCTCTGAAATGTAACCTTGCTGTATAAAACCATCACACAGCTTGGGTAACAGTGGATTTCTCAAATCTCTGTCAATGTCTGCTGCAGAAGAGCAGCTTTCCTCTTCATTATCTCCATCTTTTCTTAAACACTTATCTTCATTATCCAACTCTTCTGTTGTAAGCTTAGTACAAAAATCCATATTTTCTCCAAGACTGTCAGCCTTTTCTAAACTTTGCTCACTTGACTGCTTCTCTTTTACATCTCCATTACAGACAGTATCCAATTCTTCGTTCACATTTGTATCACATGTGTTTATCATGTCTAGAGGAGTTTCATTGCCATCTTGGCATGGATAGTTCCCCTTTTGGCAGGATTCCTTAGCCTTTAGTTTCACATCAGCACATACATCTGTACCCATCACATTGCTGTCTCCTGTGTTGGAGTTCTCCTTCTTGTCTAAAGCGGGTGTGGGTGAGCACAGTTCATCTTCCTTGTGTAAGCACTTTACTGTAGCCTCTCGATTTTCAATGCCATTTTTTTCAGAGACGACATCTTTATTAGATTCATAAGACACAGGTCCAATTCCAAATGTAGCTCTGTCAGGTTCAGGCTCAAGAGAGACAAATGTCTCGTCACTCTTAGGTTTTTTATCATGATCAGAAAGTAATGACTTTTCCTGAGTTTCAGTTGCCTCACATTTCATTTCTACATTCTTTTTATCACCGGAAATTTCACCAACAAGTGGCATCACTTTGTTCAACTGTAAAAGAAAGTGGAAAAGGTCAAATTAGATTTAGAAATCTAGCGTTTTTTTAGTGATAAATGTCAGCCTTAAAAAAATGCATTAGTTATACAAGAAAATAATTGGTACAGCTGACAACATTCCAATAAACAATTAGTTCTCTTAAAACTCATGAAATTTAGAGTACAATGTGTTAATATAGAAAGCACAGATAATCACAACTAATGTATTGTATTATCTAGTGTTTAGACTTACACTTTCAAGGCTGCTCCAGTTTTAATGTCCTAGTTGGTGGTAGAAAATTCAAGTACAAACTGAATGCATCATTACATGCAGTCACTGGAGCTCCTGTGACTGTACAACCCTGTTCCTGAGAGGGAACGCCTATTAAACGCGTGCGAGAGCATGCACAAGCCCGTTTTTCCTTGTGCATGTTCTGTTTAAAGGTTGCCATTTGCATCGCTCACACAAGCTTACTTTCCAAAAGAGGTTTTGCAATTTTTCAACTATGTCAGGCTCACCACCTGGGGGACATGCGCGTACAGTAGCAGGTATTCAAAATGGCCACTTCCCACTCAAACGCCAGGAGAATGGCAGCCCACTTCCCACCAACTTCCAGCCACTGGAGAGACCCACCTGTTGCATATTTTATTTACTCCGACTCCCTTTCACTTAATTACAGGGTCTGACCAGGAGATGATGCTTGTCTTTATATCTTAATGTCCACAAATCATGACAGAATATTTAAGAAAAAAATATTGATGTATAAAAAGGAATTGTAGGGGACCAGCCAAGGGCCCATCAATGAAAGCGGGGAAATTTTGAATTGCTACTACTGTAGGACAACCTTACATAAACATGTCACCAGAATGATTGACAATTAGGAGGACCACTTATTTTGAGGATTCACCCGGAAAAAGAGCCTCCTCCACTACACCTTTAATTTCTAAAGACTACGATGTAATTTTGCTATATTGAATGATAAACCTACCAGTTTAATAATTAATGAACACCAAAAACATTAATACAGACGCTAATAACATTATATAGTAATATAATTAAATGTTAATTTAATTAAAGGGTTATGAAACGGCAAATATACTGAATAATTTCTTTTTATAATTTTTTTTAATCAGTTTATTGCTTTGTATGGAAAAAGAACACAACCTGAATTGTTTCCTTCTCCTGTTGGTCTGCTGCTGGCTGTAGATTGCTCCATGGAACAGGTTTGGCTTCAAGTTTTTTCACCGACAAATCCAAAATTTCAGATTCCGTTACTGAGTCACTGCTCTCGGGTTTGCTTAAGTCCAGCATTTCTGAAACTCCCTGGTTTGGAGTTTCTGCTAGAGTTGCAATTGAATTGATCTCAGGCTCCGGCTGAGTTTGGCCTAATGAAGTTCCACTTGTTATTTTGAGTGGCCCACTCTTCTCTGAACATGGTGGCATAAAACTTGGATCAACTTGAAAGAACCGTTCTGTTGACCGGCTGTAAAACAGGCCTATCCACATGTGGAAGATGAGTCGCACCTCTTCAGTAGTGTCTTGGATGAAGAAATCCCATGGCCTATAAAAAAAAAACAAAAAACACACCGATATATTCATACACACGATCATATTATATATATATATATATATAAATAAAAAACTAACATGAAAATGTACATACCCATGCAAAGCTCTGATGACTGCTTTATCCTTCGGGTCACTGGTAAACCTGCTGTCTAGATTGAAGTTGTAGTTTTCTTGCCATTTTCTGGTGACTTGTATAGTATTCTCCTTCATTACAAAGGTTCGTGAGGTTTTGAACCTTTCCTTCTGCTTCGACAGGTATTCAGAGGTCTTGATGTTTTCACCTGTGTCCTCCATATTGACAGGGACGTGTAGTGTTTTAAGTCCATCGCCATACTTTGTGTGGTGATGGTTTAGAAGTCTCGTTGAACCACTTAAGGGTGGTACCTGGAAGGGTGTACCTGGCAAATCCAACAGTAGAGAGGAAGATGGGGGGAGTGAGTAAGCATGATCTAAAGATATTAAAGCAACCAGTTCATTGTCTGCCACAAGGGAGCATGTTGTGGGAGACTCAAGAGGTGGAGTTGTTCTAGCAGCAGGATTTCTAAGCAAAGAGTGAAGAACTGACTCTTGACCAGCACTGGAAAGACCTTCTGAAAGGTCAGATATCTTCATACTCTCTTTGGGAGGACTTTCAAGTGCTTGATTTGGTTGAGGAAGGATTTTGTCATTACTGAGTGCCAAGTCAGCAAGTAAGTTCAAAGCATCTGTAGATGTGCAATCACTTTTCATTTTTTCCTTAACAGTCTTCCTGACAGTATTATCACTAGTACAGTCATTGATTTTTTTTTCACTTGTAAAAGAAGCTGGAGTTTGAAAATGCAACCACCCTGTGAAGACAAAATAGAGAAGAAAAAGAGAAAAATGCATGAAGATATAAAGTAGCACATTGAAAGCACATGAAATACACCTCTGTATTACAATGAGTAATTTGTCACCAACATGTAACTCCTTTGTTTCACAAGGGACAAAGTTTACTTGTTCAATCATGGCATGCTTAAACAGTTTGACAAAACAGGCAAAAATGCTGCTTTAGCAAGAAAACACACAATTTTCAAGTAAATACAGATAGTAAAGAATAGAAATAGCATGCTAAGGAGAGGTGACAGGGCCAAGGAAAGGTCAACGTCAGAGATATTCACAGCACAAGATATTACAAATTCTAATTAATTCAAAGATATGACTTACATTTCTTTTTAACAGTTTCCGCAGAGATGCCCTGAAGTCTTTTCAGAGTCTTTATTCTACCCCTCGTTGGAATAAATGAGGGGGGCTTTTGAATTATTTGTTGCTGTTTTTCTAAGAAGGTATGTTCTGCTTTCTCATTTTTTACATTCTCTTTAGGGGTCAAGCCTAAGTAATATGCAAATCCAGGATCAACGGATGCCATTTTGGAAACACTGTCACTTTGGGGAGTTATATTATCCTCAATTGTCTCTTTGTCAGAGTCCACTTTGGTTTTCTTCAAACAAGGCTCGCTTTCTTGGTCTACACATTCTGTCTTTTGTCGCTCCCTGATAAGACCTAGCTCTCTCTTTCGACTTGAGAGAACTGACTTTAGTTTACTTAGTAATAGGTCCCCTTTTGCAAAAATCTTGGTTGGAGAAATGTTTCCAGGCAGTTTGGACTCAACCGTTGTAGATGAAAGACTATTTGTGTCAGCATTTCTTGGAGAAGCGGTACACGTGGTAGGGGGCAAAGGTATCTGACCACCATCATCACTTGTTGGTGTTGAAATGTCAGTCGCCATCAGTGAAGCTGTGCCAAGTTGTTTATTCATTACAGCCGAGTCAGGAACCATCACAGGGATGTCATTTGACAACTTGTCAAGGCACTTGTCTTTTGCTGCACACTGCATTGATTTCATCTGATTGACAAAATCTACAGAGCCAAAAGGATGCAAAATCCTTCCACATTCACTGGTGACAGGTTTAATGTCCCAACGAACTGTTTTCTTTCTTAGAGGTAAAGCCTGAAGTCCCAGAATAATTGGGCTTTTCAAACTCTCCGGTCCAGCATCTAAAATCTTCTTTGCATCTTTGGCTGACTGAACTTTAGCAGACTTCAGTTTCTTATTTTTTGATGATAGTGTCCCAAATACACGCTTCCTCTTGTAAGGTCTTTTCCATTTAGGTTTTGTAGGACTTAACTGCGGTAGATTTAATTGTTCATTTTGCTCCTCTGTCTTGTGGTTTAAATGCTCAACCTCAACTGAGGATACAACAGTATTTAAACTCTCAGTCTTGACAGAAGTTTTATGAACCTTTTTCTTTGTTAGGCCACGTCTTCTTCGCCTTCTCCTTCGTTTTGTACTCGTTTGGTGCTTGGTGACCATAGATAAATCCAAACAGTTTTTTGTTTTGTCAGACTCCTCAATGGCAGAGTTTACCTCAGCTGTTTGTAATTTGGTGATGGTTGAAAGACCAGAAAAATGAAAGTCTGTATGCTTGGCTTCTGAGTCTTTGTCGGGGACACTTGGTTCCGCTGAAGTTAAGCTGACGATGAGCTCAGCAGGGAGATCCTCTGTTGTCGATGGACTAAGTGGGTCTTGTGCTTTCGGATCGTCAGATTTGTCCATCTGCTCAGTGACTGAAGTACATTTTATATAGTCTTTGGTACCATTTTCACTTTGCAAAATGTCTGACATCCGAGAAAATTGGGTTGGAGCAACTTGTAATTCAGTACTTGGCAAATCAACATCCATGGATGTCTTAATATCATCTTGTGATTGCTCATCTGAGAAGTGATCTTGTGCTTCCATGCTAACTGGGCTGGTTGGTACCGCCTCAGGGGATGACAGGCAGATGTAAACACAATCATCAAGATCCTCTCTTCGCTCCTCTTGTCCTGACGCCAAGATTTCTGATACCTTGGCAATTGGAAGTTGAAAGGAGGCTGGTTTATTCAAGTAAGACTTGAAGGTTTGCCATGTCCTGTCATTCCACTCAGGAGATGAATAGAGATGTTTGTGGGCATCTGCCACATCGTACTGATCTGGAAAGATACTCAGTTCCCTTGATGGTCTCGATGAACTTAAGGAGAATCCTGGATTTATTAAAGTAGCATAGCTCTGCATGTGCTGAGCAAACACTTCACAAAGTTCGTCGTTTGGACCCAAGCATGCCTTCTCAGCTTCGCCCTCAGCGTAACTTAGCACTGGTAGAACTCCAAGAATCTCATTAGACAGGGAAGTGCTTTTCCCTCGGAATTTTGTGTCTGTAAAAAAATTGAAAAATAAAAGTACAGTGAGTGTTTGCTTTGGTGATCTTTTACAGAACAAAGTATCAAAGTCAGCAAAATATTTATGAAGTAGGATTGGACCATTGACTGTATAAGGAATAGGGATAGAAATTTTAGGAAAAACTAAAATCTGAAAATCCAAAATAATTTTTATGCTTGGCTTGTGGCTCGCTCACCTCCCTGTCCATTCATTAAATTGGGCTTAAGTTGCCTTTTACTCATACAGCGTTTCCCGATATATACGCTGTCAGCACAACACATTTGCTATCTTCACATAAGTTCCCTTTTCTTTTTTTCTTTTTTTTTTAAACATATACATTCTAAACTTTAAATTACTTTTAAAGATAGTCATACCTCATGATTTTTATTTTGTCATGGTTCGGTCAAAAGCATCAGCATATTTTAGCTTGACTTTTGTGGTAAACCAAACCAAAAAAGTGTATAACTGTACATCTAAAGAAAGGGCATAAATGGTTCCAAGTTAATCTGAAATACAATGTGTGTTTGTATTTATTGTCCTCCTCAATCACTGATCCATAGAACCACCATTTCCTGGAATCACAACTTTAACTCTTAAGGTGCATTCACACCGAATATGAAACCTGCGAAAATTTGACCATTTTTGCTGGCCTGAATATTTGTCTGTGAAACAAATATTGAAATAGAACAGCCACAGCAAGGAAAGCCTACAGCTGACCAACTGTAAAGGATTGAAGGAGCACAGCGGTAGGTCGGATAAGTCTGCCAGGCAGACAGAACACTGGAGGTGGGGTAGAGGCTATGGCTGGCAATGAGTAGGACAGGGGTACAACGGAGAACAGCTGGCCAGGGAGCTAGAGTCTAGAGCAGGAGTGTCAAACTGGTTCCAGAAAGGGCCGTGTGGCTGCAGGTTTTCTTTCCAACCAAACAATAGCACACCAGACTCCATTCATGTCATCATGTTCAGATTGGACTCCCTTGATGAGATGACTGAAGTCTGGTGTGCCATTGCTTGGTTGGAAAGAAAACCTGCAGCCACACGGTCCTTTCTGGAACCAGTTTGACACCTGTGCTCTAGAGACTAATAGTGGGTGAAGGAAGGAGGACAGCCGAGGATCAAAGAAGACTGTTAGGCGAACCGGATGGCCGGCAGTGGAGAGATGGCATTGGCCAGCCAGTGTCTGTGCTTGAGGTGGGACTAAGAAACGAGTACTTCTAGTGCTAAATAAAACAAAAAAAACTTTTTTAAAGACACTTTAAAACCTCATTCCAACTTCATCCTTTGTCAACATTATTTTCCTCTTATCTTTTAATTTTTGTTTAAAAACCCCCCCCCAAAACAGTTAATAAAAATAAACTCATCTCCACCGCCCCCTTCGTTGTATCTCACAGCCACGTCTGGTCAACAATTGGATTTTGCATCGCGAATGTAAACAATATTTCAGATTTCTCAAGTTGCCACAATTAGGGTTGGGCAATTAATTGCATTTCCAATGTAATCACAATTTAATATAATACAATTTTCAAATGACATTGGTTCTCAATTTTGGTATCAGATTATATTTAACAACAGAAATACACTACATTTTTTTACTGCAGCTTTTTACGGGGCAGTAATACACTTAAAGTGGGTTTGCCGCCACACAGAAAAGTAAGAGAGTTGCAGCTAGCATTCCATTAAAAGTCGTGGGGAAACGGCCGTTCCAACCGTTGCATTTCGAAATTCTCCCGAGTGGTGCATGACTTTAAACAAGTAAATAAAGTGAATTTGATTGGTCGTTTATCAAGAGGGTGGGGTTGTTGTGGCAGATGGTTTGCAAGCAAGATTGATTGTGGTCGATTTCTACCCTTGTTGCTAAACAGGTAGCAACTTAGTGCTAGTAGGTTGCCTATGGGAAATTACATTGGGACCAAGTAGCACTAAATTGGTGACTTAGAAACGACACAGTCAAGGAAAGCTAATTGACAGTGGAAACATGCAAGAGGAGGAGAGTTTTGTGTCGGCGGTCGTGGATGAGTCTCCTTCGTTATACATTTTTTTTTTAGAGGAGGAAAGTGAGGACGAAGATGTTGTGGAAGACGACGCCAGGGAGTCAGAAGCTTGGTTTGATTTAGAAAAATTTGATTGACAGATGACCGTTGATATATGATTGGCGGAATTTAGGTGTTCAGGCTGACGTATAATAAACTGACCTGCATTAGATAATGAAAAAAATACACAGATTTTAATTAGTTTTTTTTTTTAAATAGAAATTTTCTACATTTTGGGACAATATCATCTGATGAAGAGTATATTTATATACAGGTTTAAGCCAGAATTATTCGACATTTAAATATGATTTCCCTACGACTAACGCATGCGAGTAGGATTAAAACTTTTCACACAAAGGTTCCAGTACAGTCTCGCAACAAGCAAGCAAGTTTTAATAAAACTTCTACAAGCTTCTAGTTAGTAAAAAGGAAAATATAAACAACATTGCAATTGCTATAAGTCGAAGATAATCACAATTTTTAATTTTGGCCAAAACGTTGAGCTCTAGTGGCAATCAAAATCTGATATCAACATAAAGATAACATGAAAATCCTCTGCTCCAGCTGCGAAATTCATGTTCGGTGTGAACACACCTTTAGGGGGTATAGATCTACCGCCTTTGCAGACTAAGAGCTAGAATACACATCCCATCATTTTTTACTGAATACTTTAACTAGAAGTGTATTGAGAAAATTCAGAATAATAATTTATAAGTCAGGTCACTAATTCTTAAATAGATGTAGGTCTGGGATTGGGCTGAGCCATCGTAAAGTGATAATGCTTTGCATCTAAACCATTTTGTTGTTGTCTTGGTATCCAGCCCTAGTGGAATTCTAGCCTGCAGCGGCAGCTTTTCTAAAGTGTGCTGTTTTCTCACTAATCTCATCTTTGTCTTGTTCATAAGTTTAGGTCTAGGTATGTCTGCAGTCATCCCACTCAATTTTTACATGATGTAATAAATCATCATCAGTGCAGCATGAAATATTACAGTATATTTTGTAAAGAGATATGACTGCTGAGGTCTTTAATCTTCATAATGTTAGGTCATTAATGTTCGTTAAAGAAACGTACAGAGTAGCTATATTTAAGCAGACTTTTAGTTGAAAATGTTGATAATTAACTAATATGGTAGGGCAGTTGTTTGCCCTAGGTTTTACTCAGGGGTATCAAAGGAAAGGGAAATTAATATAAAAGTTTGGCATGTTAGATTAAAAGAAATGTATGCTAAACCTTAGAGAGTTCAAACTTGTCTAATGATAGCTATGAAATGTAGATAAAAGTAGTTTCCTAAATTTATACACAGGTGAGAACTAACCAATTACATCTAAATGTAAAACAAGGACTATAATCACCTCTCCTCACAACCCGTGAGTCAGGAAACACAAAGAGGCCATTCATGACCTCTGCTGAGGTAGACTCAGCATCTAAAAGAAGAACAAAAAGTTACTAAAAAGCCTGATTAAAGGGATAGAATAAGTGGTTTAATATCCCATTAACAGTCTAAATTCACAACTTACCGTCATATCTGAGGAAGTGTGAAGAGTGCATTAAAATAAGAAACCCTCCATCATGTAGAGGAATGCAAAGAGCCTGAGACAAATAAGATATTTAATTTCATAGATGAAAACAAAGTTGAAACATTTATGCTAGTGCTCCCTGCACCCGAGAACACCTTCAATAATAAGTTCCATTAATAGTTATTATTTATTATTCAAGGGTAGTAGTTAATACTAAAGATAAAATAATTTAAAAAGGAATTTTGTAACTACAGCTTTGGTGTTAAACATTAAAAATCTACTGGGCTGGGCTGAAACAGTGTTGCTTTGGGTAAGTCATCCATTGTAATTGGTAACCAACTCACAAGATCCTTTTCCTTCATCTTTGAGAGGAGGAGAGCAAATGAGTTGGCTTCCTTTGCTTCTGAGGACACAAACTCACACAAATCACAGTAAAATCCCTCCAAGAAGACTGAAAGAAAAAAGGGATTGTGTGTTGATATTGATTCATCCAAGGCCTGTTTAGAATGTGTAAGGATAAAGACTTTCAAGAAAAAAAAAAAATGAATCGAGACATACCTTCTTCAGTAAAGCTCGTTTCAAACGCAGCTCTAGGCAACAGGATTCTCAGATCTGACATGGAAATGGCTTGGTTGACCTTGATCACTGGTGGTCTTCAACAGAAAAATAAAAACTATATCAGAATAAAGTTGATAAATCACACATTAAAATGCAAAAGACAAGACTTTAATTTGCAGATTGGACCTACAGCTGTGCAGGAATAAAAGCCATGACGTTGGACCTGAGGTCAACATGGTAAAACTGGCTCTCAATCTGAAGCTGACCTCTCCACGTCAAGTAGTGACAAACTGAGCAAAAAAAAAGAAAAAATGAAACAATCCACTGAGGAATAAGCAAACAAGTTACACAAAAACCTGCAGACAGTTGGTTGTTTTGTTTTTTCCCTCTTTTATACAGCAATAACAACACCGACGAGGTGCAGGAAATAAATGAATATCGTGCAGAGATACAGTCGCCTACATGGCTTTAAATAATACTGATGGGCTATTTACCTTGTCATTTCATCTAGCACCATGATATAGAGTCCAAAACAAGGTTTAGATAATGATCAAATGTCCTATAGAAGGTTTGTTTTACCAGCTAGAGTTCAAGTAAATAAAGGTGGTAATTTCTAACGGGTTGTTTTCGTAAACAGCAAAAGATATTACTTCTGATACACATTTTAGAGAACGTTCGCTCAGGAACAAAGTTAAAACTCTCCTCAACATCCCCCCCTATTAATTTTTTGTAGTAAAGGCCGTTTTGCGTGGGGCATGTTATTAAAAGGAGAGAGAATTAATGTTTGGAGGTAAAAGTTTGAAAATATATTCACAAATATTTCCTGCAATAGTGTACAAATACAAAACAAAGAAACACACACACACAAAAAAAACAATGCATTTCCATTTGTTTTTCTAAAAAAAAAAAAAAATAATAATTATCCAATAACTTTATGTATTTGGAAAAAGAAATTAAAATAAAAATCTAAATGTATTGACTACTTCTTTATACAGTGAGGAAAATAATTATTTGAACACCCTGTCAATTTACAAGTTCATCAGATTAGAAATCATGGAGAGGGGTCTGAAATTGTCATTCTAGGTGACATCACAATATATAATTTTTGTTTAACAATTTATTTATACGATACAGCTGCAAATAATATTTGAACGCCTGTCTATAGGCTAGAATTCTGACCCACAAAGACCTGAAAGTCTGCCTTCAAAATGTCCACCTCCACTCCATGTATTATCCTAAACTAGATGCACCTGTTTGAAGTCATTAGCTGCATAAAGTAGAGGTGGGTTGTTGTCTGCGTTAATGGCTGCGTTAACGGCAAAGTCTTATCAGGCAATATAAAAAACATTGCCCTTAATCTATTCTCAAAGCTGGGTTGGGTGCTATATTCTATAATATGTAAGGTATAATGACTTTCACCTTGATATTTTACCACTGATGTATGACTGGGGTGAATTTATTTAAACCAGCACATGTCAAGCCCTGTCTTAAGTTTGCCAATTACCATTTGGAGCATCCAGAGGAGTCATTGGGAAAAGTCATGTTGACAGATGAGACCAAAAGACAAAATTTTGGTCATAATTCCAGAAACCATGTTTGGAGGAAGAAGAATGATGAGTACCATCCCAAGAACACCATCCCTACTGTGACGCATTGGGGTGGTAGCATCAAGCTATAGGGGCGTTTTCTGCACATTGGACAGGGCGACTGCACTGTATTAAGGAGAGGATGACCGCGGCCATGCCTTGCCAGATTTTGGGAAACAACCTTCTTCCCTCAGTTAAAGCATTGTAGATGGGTCGAGGCTGGTCTTTCAACATGACAATGACCTGAAAAACACAGCCAGGATAACCCAGGAGTGGCTCTGTAAAGAAACATATCAAGGTTCTGGCGTGGCCTTGCCAGTCCCCAGATACGTATATATCCAATAGAGAATCTTTGAAAGGAAGCTCAAACTCCATGTTTCTAAGCAACAGCACAGAAACTTGACTGATCTAGAGAAGATCTGTGAGGAGTGGGCCAAAATCCCTCCTATCGAAAAACTACAGGAAACATTTGACCTCCGTTATTGCAAACAAAGGACAACATTGATTTTCTCAGGTGTTCAAATACTTGTCTGCAGCCGTATCATACAAATAGTTAAACAAAAAAATAAAAATCATACATTATTTCTGGATTTTTGTAGATTATGTCTCTTAGACTTAGAAAAACTTGTAATATCACTTTGATGATTTATAAATGGGAGAATATGCAAAACAGTAGGGTGTTCAAATACTTATTTTCCTCATCAGGCTTTAAAGTGACAAATATTTTGAAGAAAAACATTTTTTTTTGCATTTTGAGATGTACACTTTCAGGGTAGAGACAGTAAAGCAAATGCTACCATTGCAGTACACAACAGCCTTTTTATATAACACGTGTATTTAATTTTTTTTGTTCCTATTAGAGCCAAAAGACATAAGTAAAATCATATCAAGAACTACTGTATGTACTGAGACCAGAAAGAGTGCTGATGAAGTCTTCTGCTGACTGCTGATGCAACAAAAAACCACATGTAGGAAGAAATTTGACACGTTAGTGGGGGCTCAAAACGGTTTGTTTTCTTCTTACAGGAATTAAGATTTATTCCTATAAAACCACGAGGCATATTTATATATGTAAACTCACATTTACCCAAAAAAAGAAATTAGTCATTTTCTTGAGTTCAAACCTTTCTTACCTTGTTTTTTCAGCTCACTAGAACAAAAAGAAAAAAGACAGAAAGAGGAAAAAAACAAATAAAAAATTTGGCATTAAAATATATAACTTCAATAATAAAAAAAAAAGTGTTCAATAAAATTAGTCACTGAGGGAAGAAGATTACCTTTTCTCTTGTGGAATATGTGATGCTTTTGTGTCCATATATGAAAACGACACAATAGCAAATGGACATGCGGCGCTGGGACACCGAGATGTTCCACCGCTGCCATCATTTAGCAGCTCGTATATGTAAAACTGAAAGGAGTAAAACAAAATGCAGTTTTGTGTTCATATAAACCTCCAGCTATGTATTTGGGCAAACAAGTGACCACATGAGCACTTTTGAGGGCCAAACTCTAACCTGGGTTCTCTCAAAAGCAAGGAAGGAGCTGGTTTTGGCAGACACAGAGGGCAGCTGGTCTGACACGTGACAGTCGAAGCCAACGGAAGGTTCTGTGAAATTCTGGGTGTAGTTCTCGGCAACGTTTTTCACTTTACCCTTTAAAGAGTAAAAAACAAACAATTATTAACCCAGCGGCAGCAACTCTTCTAAACGGAGGCTCCAGCATGTTACTTATCAGTACCTTTGTCAGCTTGATGATGGCAATGTACCCAGATTTCCCATGATACCAGCGATTTAGATCCAAACAGTCAGAGAACATGGATATGTAAACACCTTTAAAAAGGAGAAAAATAAATATAAAGCACTTTAATGTTTTAGATAAATGCAAAAAAAAAAAAAAAAAAAAATTGAAATCCAAAGTGCTCAAGGTGAAGTGTCAAAGGAGAATCTCATAAACCTGCCACACCTTGAGCAGAACAACCACACCCAGCAAAGTCACCTCTGAAAAAAACAAGCCGTATGCAAAAACACACCCTGAATGATCTCATTTAGTTAGACTGGCCGTGCATTTAGTTAGACTGGCAGAAAACAATCGTTACATAAAGGGAGAAAACTCACCAAAAAATAAACAAAGCTGTTTTTTTTTTTATGTTACTATAACCATTGTTTGAAAAAGAAAAGAAAAATACACTTTTATAATCTGTACATTGACAGATTTAAAGCTGTATTGTGGGCAGTCTATGGTACACCTATGCACTAATCATGGTGTCTAATCAACAACTTGATATGGCACACCTATGAGGTGGGATGGACTATCTCAGCAAAGAAAAAGTGCTCACTTTCACACATTTAGACTGGTTTGTGAACAATATTTGAGGGAAATGTTTGTGTATGTGGAAAAAGTTTTAGATCTTTGAGTTCATCTCATGAAAAAAAATGGGAGCACAACCAAAGTGTTGTGTTTATATTTTTGCTGAGTGCATGAAAACCCTCCACAGAATGAAAGCTAAATCCATTAAAGCTCGGTAGAAAGAAAGATAAAAGATCATGCCACCGATCTGTTTTCGGTCAGAAATCTGAGCAGCCAAAAACCTGTCTGGCAGGTTACTGGACCCCGTCTTGTGTACGACACATAAGTATTAAATTGAATAAGAAGAGAATTGAGAATATGATGGAACAACGGTTTAATCTATGTCAGGGAATCATTGGATAAAATAATTTTAAAAGTCTTGGGAGAAAAGTGCACAGCATGTCTACATTCATTTAGACACAATAAAGCTTTTATTTGCTCTGCTTTTTACCTGTAGTCAAAATAAAAGATTTCAATGAAAGGCAAAACAATCGCATTTGTAATACACAATACTCGAGTTGAGGGGGGATGGCATCCTCCTTCTTAAAAACTTAAAAACAAATCACCCCCCTTTTTAAATGACCATCCTCCCATACCATGCCCTGTGAATTGTATTACTGAATGTGTAAAGTTTCCACTATATATTTACAGTAATGGCAATATTTCCCTTTCAACATATTTTGGACTGTTGGCTTATGAGTAGCTTGAGCAAAATAAATAAAATCAAAGAAGTGTCCTACCATGACTATGAAGCTGATCCCAGTGGGAAAATTGTCCCTAACTATGAGGGGCAGTGATGCCATCTCAGCACAGGGACTGACTGCACTACTACAGTAAGGTGACTCGGTCAAGGTCAATGACCGCCGTACCTGACATGTACCAATACTATGCACGGGGGGGATTTACCATTAGGCAATACTAGGCAGTTAACTATGGCTCCAAGTTCTTGGGGGCCCCATAAAACTCCTTACATTTCCAGCTAATACAACAATTTGCGCAACAGTTGTGTTTTACTAAAAATCCCTCTCCATCAGAAAACTTATATTAAACATTCTTAATGCTTAATATTAGGAAGCCCCCATAGTGTCCACCATATTGGATCAGTCCATTTGCTGCACATGTTCAAAAAGGTCCAAACAGTCAGCAGCAAACCATTTGAAAACAAACGATGCAAAGAGCAGTGTTGCCAACTTAGCACTTTTTTCGCTATATATTTAGCGACTTTTTAGACCCCTCTAGCACTTTGATTTAAAAAAAAAAAAGAGCCTAGCGCCAAATCAAGCAACTTTTTTCTGCTACTGGAGACTTTAGCAACATCATATAAAAGCACCGAAGTCTGCTCTCCAGAGCAAGTAGATTGGTAACCCCGCCTCCTGCTCTCCATCTTGTCTGCTGTCATGATTCATGCCGATATCATTACATACAATTGAAAAATGTAGAACAGATTAGCAGGTCATGACAAGGAATGTGTTATTTACTTCTGCCGTCACCCTTTTTCGAAACACAGGAAGGAGCAATCAGTTAAGGGAGCTTAGTGCTTAAAAAAAAACTTTCATTCCTTTTGCGGCAGCATGAAAAGTCAGCTGAGTACAAAACAGAGAGGAAAACAACAAGAGAAGGGACAAAACCTAGAACAAATAATGTATGTCTGTTCTATTCAAATTTCTCTATCTGTATAATGAGTTTGCTTTGAGTGTCGTCTTATCAATTCAAATGGCCCCCTTCCTGTCTTTGCCTAGGGCCCCAAATTTCCTAAATTCGCCCCTGACCATGCATATTACTTTAGGCTATATTAATTAGGCCATGTATGCTTAAAAAAAATTAAAAATAATCCACCATCGCCCTTCTTTTTTTTTTTTCTTTTGAATTTAGAGTACTGTTAATACATAAATAGTAACTCAGGAAGGCCATGGTGCTGCTGAAACCCAATAAAGCTGGTGCTGCAGTGATCATAGTGCCTACAAGTTTATACAGTTCACCATCCTGCCTATATGTCTCGAAATCACAGTTTCACTTTCATTCAGAATAAGTTTTTTTTTCACTTTCAGTTGTATACATTAATAGAGCTCTAAAATTTGCTTTCACTTTCAAATGGAGCACACAGCCAAACAAACAGCGTCTGCTCTCCATTTGGACAACAGATCTGGATTTATTCTCCTTTAATCATTTCATAGGTGAGTTTATCTAAAGTAATTATATTTAAAGACCGACTCAAAACATTTGTAGTTGTGGTTGAATTCGCCTGGCTGAATCAGAGCTTAGAGTGAGCGCGTTTAGTAGAAAACAGGTGTGGTTTTTTTTTTTACCTTTTGCTGGGTCTCCTAAGGTTGTGCATGAGCCGTTTCCAGAGATCACACCGCTTTTTCCAACAGCATTCGCCTTTAAGAACATCCAGACAGCAAAAATCAGCTACATTTGACAACAAACCTTTATTAAACCGGGTTTATTTAAACTACAGACTACCTTGCTGCCATCGTCAAACAACAAAAAGCCAAATGTTTCCTGGAGATCCTCTTCCGAGTAGCCTGCGGTTCTTTTCCCTGCTCGAAACGCGTGGTACTAATGTGGAAAGGGACGTTTGAAACATAAATAAAACTTTTAAAGGTACAAAAGCAGGTTTACTTTAACATTTAACTGGTTTTACTTTGATTACTTATTATATAAAGGGGGTAAACTTACATAAGTATTAAATAAACAGTATAACTAAATGTGAATTTATTTAAATTGTGTATAATTCTGGTTAAATTAAGGTTGTGTGGTGAAGGAAGGGCAGATTGAACAGACCTTTTCCTCCAGGTCGGGGTTCTTGACTAGAACAGCAGACTTGTATCTGAAAAAGTGCTTTGATTCTTCGTATAAGTACGCACTTTGAAGTGGAGCCAATATACTGGTTTGAAAGAGCTCCGAAGATTCACACACAGGTATCAGAATACCTGAAGAGTGCACAGAAAATATGGCCATTAGTGAAAAATGGACAAGGAGCTGGAAAATTACAGAAAACTGCAGCCAGAGAGCAGGGAAACACGATTTCACAATTCAGGGACAGGCTGACCTGAAAAACAACACCTAGGCAGGATTTAAGGCTTTAAAAAAAGCTACTAACTGCGTCATAAATTGAGGTTTTACGTCTTTTTATAGTTTCAAACGCTTAAAAAAAAAAAATAAATAAAAAAAGACGTTCGTCACCTTCACTCGATGCACCACCATTACGACTTTCCATCGCTTATGAAATCTGCCCCTTTCCCTTGGCGTATCTTTTTAAAGAGTTATCCCCGCTTTCAAACATCTCAAACGAGTGAAGAAAAAAAAAATAAATCCCACAAATCCAGAACCAGCGGAAGCTTCCAGAGTCCTCCGAGTCTACTGACAGGTCAAAGCGAACCAGGAAGTTACAAAATATCCACCACGTCCAAACACGACGAGGCGAATATCTTCAACTTTATTCACTTCCCCCCTTCTCTAAATCATACATCCGCCAAATAGGAAACTTCTCGAGTCCCCCTTCGAGTCTCCTGGTACGGATGGTCGACCATATGCGCTCTGCGGAGCGAAAAAGAAACAGAAACCTATCTAGCTTATAGCGTCCATCTTGAAAGTCACCAAACTAGTGAACCAGTAGCTGCTGCTGCTGCTCAAAACTATGGCGAACCATGCAGCTCACGTGTGCTTCTGACCGACTGCACCCTTCATTAGGGGAAAAAAAGCAGAAAGACGTCCGATTTAAAATTAACCAGTCATAGTTTATTTTAAATTATATATTAACGGAATTCATCTTGATTTTATACGAGGGTTTAATGTCAGTATTCTTCCTAGTGTGAGGAAGTTCTCAACTCTTTTCCAACTTCATACTGGTCCAATGATGTTGGCCCCCTACCGATTGTGAACTAGGACCCCTCTTTAGTATGGAGGACCAACTCTGCCATATTTAAAAATAAATACAGAAATAAATAAATGCTCAATAGATAAATAAGCATTTAATTAATTGCCCCCAAAAATACAATAAACAAATAAATGTAGGTAGAAATTTTATTATACAGCGAGACATAAATGTATATATATATATATATATATCTTTTTTAATTAGCGTATTTATGTCTCTCTAAGACACACCCCTCCTCATTTACATAATGAGACAGAAATGCATACAGAAATGTAAAAACGACAGGCAGAAATAAATAGTGTTGAAGAAATAAAGAGGGTAAAAAAAATACAAAGGAAGAATAAAACAGACAAAAATATTATATCATGCACATAAATAAATACTAAATAAAAAAAGTGCTATAAAAAGACCTTATTTATACCACAACACATGGCAGACTTCAACAGGATAGCACTAGACATCTTCCAGGCATATGAGTAAAAATAGCAGCAGTTCAGCGGACAGGATGAATGAATGGTAGCCGGCGTGTCCGGATGATGTCATACACACTCCGCTTTGTTTGGGGGACCAAACACACCTATTGTTGTGTCATTACGCCATTATACTGATCCATTAAGGCCGATTTATACCTCGAAACAAGGTTGTCTGCACAGGTGTCTCAGTGAACAAAAAGACGTCCCCGCCCCCTCCGCAGACACTCCGCCGCACCTCTCCCAAATTGTAGGTGACTGCAGACAGTGCTGCAGACAGGAGGCCGGCTTGTTTTGTTTTTATGACCGAAAACAAGTCGTGAAATTGGACCAGCTAGAAGAGCGAGGTGTGCGAGAACGCTGGGACACTTTTTCCACCTGGATCCTCACTATTTTCGCTGTCATGTCCCTCCGTTGTCGGACAAACTCGCCCCCACTTCTTCATCGCCTCGGCCGTATCTAGACCCACAGCATATAGCGCAGACCACGCTTCAATATTGGGCATAAATCAAAAATATCTGCGTCAAGTTCAATGCGACACATTGCTGCAGGAGTATAACCAGCCTTTATCCATTCAAAATGTCCACACTTTCCTTGATGGGACCTTGGTTGGCCCCCTAAGATTCCCCTTTAAACAACAATCTTTGTACAAAACTATTTTTTCTGTCATGATTTGTGGACATTAAAGCTGTAAGGAAGTCATATTTAAATTTCAAGCCATTCTAGCTTAAACATGTATATAAATGTACTCTTTATCAGAACATACTGTCCCAAAAGTTAGAAAATTTCTATTAAAAAAAAAATCCTTAAAATCAGTTAGTTATACGTCAGCCTGAACACCTAAATTCGGCCAATCATATATCAACTGTCATCTGTCAATCAGACTCATCCACGACCTCCAACACTAAACTCTCCTCCGCTTGCATGTTTCCTCTGTCCATAGCGTTCCTTGACGGTGTTGTTTCTAACTCACCAATATAGTGCTACTTGGTCCCAATGTAATTTCCCATTGGGAACCTACTCAAACAAACAGAACCAGTTGCGAAGTCCAAGCAACGTACAAAGCCAGTAACCGTATTCCAAAGAGTAACTGATTTAAAATGCTTGAAATAAACCCATTTTCTTAACTGTGTTATATTCACATAGTAAATACAACACCAGAAACAATGAATAGAAAGCTGTGTCTAGTTTTAAATTGTATTTTCATAAAGAAGAGGTTTCGTTTACGATTAAATGAAACTGAAAGTGAAGTGTATTTATGATGAAGCGCAGGTGGAGGCAGGTTCCACGGAAGGGACCCACTTCTTTGAAAATAAACTTTTAAAAAAGTGCTGGTACTTAAGACTGCTCAAATATTGCATGACGAAATGAAGGGAAGCCTTTGAAAGAGAACCTCATCTTTCTCGTATATAAAGAAAGTTGCCCGGTTGTTTTTTGTCTGTTTTGTTTGTCTTTTCCTACAGGCTTGGACAGCTGAAGGATACAATGAAAACATGACATTAGCAATAACAAAGTCACAGAGCTATCTGACTGTAGCTTTGGGGATTTTTATCTGCAAGTTCAACAAAAAGAATCAAAGAAAAAAGGACATGTTTCAGTTACCAGTTTGTGAATACGGTCTAAAACTGAAAAGTACAGTATCCTCAATGATATAGCTTAGAAACTAATGAATGTCTTTCATTTTACAACAAGTGTGCTGTAAACATGATTTTCTGAGTGTGTTTGTATAATATTATTCTTAATATTGTTACATATTCAAAAGTGTACAGTTTTGGATAAAATAAGGTTTAAACATGATCAAAAATATGTTCCTTAAACATCTAATTGAATAAAAAATAAAATATGTGTGAAAAGGTTGCAGGTTATTTATGTTTTCAGTAAAACCTTGTTTTTTTTTTTTTACGTTTTGATTTTTGCACACTTGATCTGAGCCCATCATCTAATACGTATTGTCCACCATAAATTTTAATACACAGGTTAAAAGTTTAATCTGTTTACTGGCTATGCAGCAGATTGTTTTTCTTATTATCTGTCTGGAAATTTGTCCTCTGGCAAGTTATCGACTCTGCCAGGTTTTTTGTGGTGTTCCACAAGGTTTAGTTTTAGGTCCAGTTTTATTTTATTTTCAATAACTGGCATAATGTTTTGAAAAATCCCTTCCACACCTACTTAGACGGCATCTTTTAAGGCCTGCTATACCTAGATAGGCTTTTCATCCTTGTTCACTATATTTAGTTATTTATTCGCTACGATTGTCACCTTTTTAACTGACCAAAGCTCTAACTGAACTCACAGATGATTTTTTCCCCTATAGATAAAATGAACCATGAATGTTCTTGTATTTAGATTGCAGTGGTTCCCAGATTCAGGCATACTGTGTGTAAATTGTAGGTTGAGGGACTCCATGCGCATCGTCTGAGGATGTTTGACTATTCCCCAGTCAAGTATGCAACTTTTCTACCTTTGTCTTCTGCCATGGGATCATCAAATGAAGAGTAAGAGCACATTTTCCTTGTAGTTCTGGAAAAAACAAAAGGATAAAAAACACAGTAAGTACTGTAGTCAATGCATCAAGCTGTGTGTCATTGCCAGCTGTAATGCCTGGGTACATTAACCTTGTTACAAATAATAAACAATGTTATGTATAAAAACCTTTAATGAGTATACTTTTTTTCTGCCAAGAAGAAATTCTCTGGAAAGCAGTGTGTTATAAAAATCTAACTTTTCTCGACGTTAACTATATATTTACCATCTGTACATGGATACCATTCACTATGCAGCACTTGAACTTTTCACAAAATACAGTCAGTAAAATTATAATATATCTGTTTTTACATTTGCTCTCGGTAAGGTTCAAAATATTCAAATTTCCTGACTGAGGTAAGAGAAAACTTCCTTAATACTCTTTCATCCACATCAAGTTAAGGTCCCCAACCCAAAGTACTTCTCTACTTTTGTGTGAAAGGTATTGTTCTGAGATGTAGAGGTGGCCAGAGTATCTAAAATTTCAACTATAGAAGAATTGTAGAATTCAACTTTATTGTCATTATATTGTCACAAGTACAAAACAACGAAATTCACTTTCTGCAATTAACCCATCCCCTTAGGGAGCAGTGGGTTGCTGTTGTGCAGTGCCCAGGGAGCAGTGTGGGGGTTTAGGGTCTTGCTCAGGAACCCAGAGTGGCAGTCTGTGGGAGTGGGGACTTGAACTCGGAACCTCTGGGATCCAAGCGCAATACCCTACTGTAACCACGAGACCACCTCTCCCCTAAAGCAGAAGACATTGAGCCAAACTGCTATAGGGCTCTGGATCCGCATTGCATTGTGGGACGTGGCGGCCATATTGAGGGCTACGCTAACGTAAACATAGCTCTGATACAACGTTGTTGTTGAAAG